ATATGTTAATTACTCTCACTCCCCTCAATGTAACGCTACTCCCTTACCTTCTAACGCTCTTACCACCCCCTTAAAACAATACAAATTTATAAACACCCTAGAGCCCCCTCTCCCCAATTTCTTTCATACGACCTGCTCCTGATGCCAGTCACCTCTTGTCCCTTCCTTCAGCCACAGCCTCCATCCACCCTGGCCGACCTGTTCCTCTGCCAGTCCGTCCCGGCCACTGGTCCTCCGTCTGGCTTCCCGACCTCCGGTCCCTGCAGTTCATTCACTCCGCTCAGCTACCGCATGTCCGTCCACCTCTCCTCTGGTGCTGCCGTCCACCCCCGATGCCGTCCTCTGGTCACCCCGACTGCTGTGCTCTGGTCCTGCCGACCTCCGGTCCCACCGCTCACTTGGCTCATGACATCAAGGCGTCGAAATTGTCAGGGGTGGGCGAGGACTCATAACTCGAGAGACACCTTGCCTCCTCCGTTTGGAGTTCCACTGTACGGGCAGAGTCCTGGGTCTTAATTGCCTTCTGTAAGGACATGAAGTCTCCCCTGACATAGGCCTTGAATGCATCCCATACCATTTCAGCCCCAGCAGTGGAGGCGTTCAGGTCCCAGTACTGTTCAATGGATGGTGGAATAGCCTCCATAGCCAGAGGGTGAGAGATCCATTGGGGGGCCAGTCGCCAAAGGGCTCGGTCTCTGCCCTGGCCAGAGCGGAGAGTGAGCCACATGGGTGAGTGATCAGAGATACCCCCCGGCAGGTATCTGACCTCTCCAATATCAGGCAGGAGGGCGCCCCCGGCAAATGCTAAGTCTATACGGGATGCAGTTTTGTAAGAGGCGGAGAAACAAGAGTAAGCCCTAGTTGTGGGGTTCCTCCATCTCCACACCTCCGTCAGACCAGCAGTGCGCGCCCAATCACCCAAGTCGGAGAGGCCAGAACCAGCAGTTCCAGGCCTATCCAGGGCTGGGGCCAACGTTGTATTAAAGTCCCCCATAAACAGTGTTTTTGCCGGTCCCAGGGAGGATATCTTATCCAACAGTGTATACAAGACCGCCGAATTGTAGGGTGGAGGAAGGTAAACATTGACAATAATATATCGTTGAGACCACATGGTACATACAAAAATAACAAACTTGCCATTAGGGTCAGTGTGGATGTCTTCAACCGTGCAGGGCAAAGACTTGCTGACCAGGACAGAGACCCCCCTGGAGTATGTAGAATGGGAAGCATGGAATGACCTTTGCACCCAGGGTCTCCTCAGGGCCAGCAGCCTGTTGCCTACCAGGTGAGTCTCTTGCAGTAGTACTACGTGAGGGTTGTATTGTTTGAGATATTTGAACATTAATGCACGCTTGAATTTGGAATTAAGCCCTCGGATATTCCATGAAAAGATCTTAATCTCTTCTACATCTCGTACACTCATTGGAAACAACAAGACAGGTGGGCTCCACACCTCCTAGCAGTGTCATACAAGAGAAGCCGAAGTCCCAGCTTGCAAGTCAACCACCTGAAACGAAAAAGGACCGCGAACCAAAATAAAAAACGACCCCGAACCCCCCCAACCCGCCCCGAACCCACCCTGCGAGGCCAACACATCCCCAACAGCTCGTAGAGCAATGCGTGTCAGAAGGCTTAGGATCCCCAAAACAGTCAAAAAAATTCCCAACAAAAGAAAAACAACAGTCTGCTAGGGCAGTAAAGTGATCCGGTGAGAACTTCTCTAAATTCCAGGGCTTATCTCGCTCCCATTACAGAGGCACTGAGCAATCGGTGTAAACAGAGGGTGTGCTGATATGAGGAATACTGGCTTACCATGCGGCAGCACCCTCAGCAGGCGACCCCGGTCAGGTGCCGTCTAGCCAGGCCGCTGCCGCTGCTGGGGTATCAAAAAAACGTGTGGTGTCGCCATTGTTCCGCTTCATGCAAAACCCCGCTGAGGGTCTGTCCCGACTCCAGAGAGGTAGAGCAACACCTGTACCCAGGTAAGTAGCAGAAACTCAGCGCTAGGATAGTGGCAGGATATTCTATGGAGCGGAGATGCCCGGGTGCACGTCTACTCCGGATCACATGCTGGCCACGCCCCCGGTGTCATTCATATTTAAGACGTACATACCTTGATGCAATGGTGTCGGCATTCAATAAAACTTTGGAACTGCTCTTATTTCCTGCCAGACTCTGCTTTGTCCTTTTTACATGTTTTGCCTATAACTTGAGACTTCTAGTAAGCAGATTTCCATTAACGTGTATGATAACAACCTTTCTGATGCAAACACTTTCCCCTGTTCACAATCCCTTAAAAAGCACTGTATAGCCCTTTAAAGATTTGCTATGCAGTTTGTGGATTTGAACCCCAGTTGAAGCCTTGTGGTAATTTCAGGGCCCCTAATCATTAATATCACATTCAATATACTGAGTACCATAGGAAGCTATAATTTTTTGGGTCTCTTTACACAAGTCCTTTCAACTAATCTATAGCCTGGCTTTACTCTTGTATATTGTCTTCATAGTTGTGACCTAATATGCTAAAATATTATTTGTGTGCTTCACTCCAACATCTTCAGTGTTTCTTTTGGTTGCAGATTCATGGGTCAGAAGACGTTCACAAAGAGCAAAAGCGACAACAGCAGCTAGAAGATAACTACCGCTTTGTCTGGAGCCAAAACCAGGATGACACATGGAGCCAAAACCAGGATGACACAAAAAGCAACAGTGCTTCGACAGACTCTGATGATGTGGATTTCTGACCTGAACTATTGGGGAATTCACCAGCACAGACCGGATTGCCTGACTTTGCCCTGTGGACTCGAGCTTTGTAACAAAACTTTTAGAATAACATGCTGCTTCTGGAACAATGGGCGGGATTGCAAACCTATAGAAGAATATGCAGAGGCCTCAGTAGTTTAAAGCCAGTGTTTAGATGACCCGATGGCTGTGCTAAGCACAACCAACGGGATAAAAGCAATTGGGTTTTTTTGTTTGTCCCCCCTGAAGAAGACTAAGTATGGTTTACAGCCTTCACAACTGTGACCACAGCCTCCTCACCCAACCAATATGAACATTTTGAATCGATGAACATCGATTTTTTTTTTTTTTTTTTTTTAATTTTCAGAATATCACATTTTTATAGCCTGCCATTCATCTTTACTACACCTACAAACTGAATTCTCCTCCAAGGTCCTTGCTTCTAATTGTCATTGAGGTGCCCAGTAATCACAAATTGGCTTTATGTTGAGAAAGATATTGTGCAGTTAAAACAAAACAGCTGAAAAAGGAATGACCAAAAGAATGTAAACTTTGCTCATGTATAGCTCAGGATCATATAAATGAAGCATGGTCCAACCAGGCAAAACCTCAGTGCAGCATTAATGGGGAACGCCATGAATAGAATAAGGATCTATGGAATTGTTAGTTCACCTCTGTCCTGCTCTTGCTGAGATCTGTTGCTTTAGAAGTCCTACAGGAAGCACTTGTGTCACCGATGTGCTCTGCCTGTGAAGTGTGCAGCACACTTCTTCATAAACTTGGAGAAGTCTTCCACTGTATCTCCACACTGGGAACACGGGACAGGGGAAGTACTAAATTCACTTCTTCGTGTGGATTTTGAGTTGGCACATATTTTGAGCTATCATAGCAGTGTTCATCTCCGAGCAGCAGAAAACGTAACCCTTGCTGTGGGGCTACCTCCGCACTGCAAGGGTTAAGTGCTGATTTTCATCTAGGGTCTAAAGTAACCTGAACCTTGGACCTGACTGGCTGCTAGGCCAGTCCCTACAGTCTCTTCTCCCCCCACTTCAACAATGGAATATCCCTGTGTCCTCACATCCAATACTCTGTATTGGACATAATGACTCATCGGTCTTTAGACCGCCAGTGCAAAGAGGAAGAGAGTCCACAGAGACTGGTCTATCAGCCAGCGGAGTCCGAGGTTTGCATTGGTATTTCTTTGTTATTTTAGACCCAGAACAATGTATTAAATGTAGAGAATTGTAGATCCCTGTCTGATTACTAACGGTTGTGATAAGATTTACTCAATACAAATAAGCTGTTCATTCCGCAAGGGAATTTTCACTTGGCAGGCGAAGTTTCCCCTTAGTTTAGCTCTGATGGCTTTCATCATCCAATCATGTGCAAGCAAAGAAAGTTTGGGGTTTTTTTTGGGTTGTTTTTTTTTTTTAATTTCTTTAATACCTTGCACTTGATTGGGTATTGTTTGCCAAATGACATTTCACCACATCCACTAAGCTACAGAGTGCAAATTCCCTTACAAAGTGAACCGCCTATTTGCCTTTAAGAAAAAATATCAACCCCAGAGGAAGAGTTGTTTTTAATAAGTTGGACTATTTGTGAGAAGGAGCAGTCAAGCACAAACACCATGTAGCACTGTTAAGCACATATTGCATATGTAAGGGGTGACTACCCCTTATGTACATGTATAATTGTAAACTGTATATTAGAAAAACAAGGTTTTTAAACGCTAAACACATGGATACGATTTTCATTGTGCTGATCGTTTGTACAAGTTTACTGTAAATACTATATATTTCCTTTTAAAAGGAATATTGGTTAACCTTTTTAGATACAGATTTGAAATGATGACAATCTGCTTAATATAATTAATATCTTATCCATGTTTTACTATTTCAAAACATTGTGTGTATGTATGTATATATATATATGTATGTGTATATATATATATATATATGTGTTC